GGTCCTAGAAGCACAATAATATAAACAAACACAACACACATGTAAAAATATCTAGAATAAATATTTATAAAAATATAGCAATAATAATATTAATAATACTTAGCAACATTGTTCAGAGTAAGCAGCAATCACACATAGAGAGCAATGGAATGTTCAATTAACACTATTTTGACCTTTAAATACAAAAAGTATATGTATAATGATGAATGAAGAAAGCTAAGCAGAATAGTTCTTGTCACTATAGCAACCAATGAAAATACTTTTTCAATTTTTAAACTTGGACTGCAAAAATGGCAACGGGGAGCTGATTGGTAGCTATGAATAACAAGACATTTTTCATGTAACACATGTCTATATAGATCAGCTCCCTTGTGGCAGCAGGTGATGAGATGATAACAATGACCATATTGTGTACTTTCCCAATATTTGTGTGGGTTACTTACCACAGTCCTAGAACACACTGCTAGGTTAATTGTCTTCCATCAAACTAGAAAAGTAGGAGCTGTATACAGTAACAACCGACTGTTTCTAAATCTGTATTGCCAATACATATATTGCTTCCACATTCTTTAGCCAAGTACACAAACAATCATCTACAATTAATACTGCCTAATTCTTGTGTTAAAGAAGATGTCAACTCTACCCAACTAAGATTTTTCTTCCCGAAGCATTTCAATTTTTTAAAAATAAAATACAATTTTCCACCCTTTTTATTGTAGGTAAATAAACTGTGTCCCTTAGTACTGCTGATCCCTTGTGGTCTCTTCACAGCCACTTCCTGTCAACATGCACTCCAGCAACAGCTGTTTGATGGTGACAAAAGTGGACCATGAGTAATATGTTGTAATACAGCCACTTGTAGTCTTTGTTGGAAGCCCATGTGAATAGGTGACAATGCCAGAGCACAGCTGAGAGACAGGGATGAACAGTTGTCACCATATATCAAAAAGTGCCTAAAAAAGGACCTCCATAGCAGGGTTACTAGATATCAGTTTAATGAAAGCTACAGATTACTTTCAATCATATTAACAGCAACAAAAGTGTGCCAGTTCGCTGTGGGTACTAAGGCATGCAGCGCAGTAGCAGCAGGCGAAGGGGCGGTGCAGTGACTAGTGAGGTGGGGCATGTGGTAGAGGTGGTGCAAGCAGGGCAGTCAGTAATGGCGGTGAGAGTAATGGCGGTGAGAGTTCAAGGTGGGTGGGAAGGTTGAAGTGAAGGTGCATTGGTGGGAAAGTTTCATGCATCGTGGGGAAGAGGGGGTGCAGGTATGGTTGTTTCCCTTCTCTTTGCTGCTCTTCCTTTTAAATCTGTATCTCTTCTCATGCTGGGGGAGAACTTCTGTTTTGCAGCAGACTGCCTTGTCTCTGAAATGGATACATGGTGTCTGTGTGTAGGTTCACAACCTGAGCCACCACTACAGGAAGAGGCACTCAGCTGCAAAGGGAAGTTCTCCCCCAGCATGAGAAGACATGAGGATTTAAAAGGAAGAGCAGCAAAGAGAAGGGAAACAACCATGGATTACAGTAAGGCACACATTACAGTATTGGTTTATGTTAAAAATCTGAGGGTTACGGCCCCATTCACACTGCGCGATTTGCAAATTGCGTGTTTGTCGCGCGATTTGCATTTTGCGCAATATCGCGCAAATGCTTGCATTGAGCAAGCGAGAGTCGCGGCAAAATCCGCTCCAAAAAGGGTCCTGCTGTAGCGACACACGACCCGCGACAGCAGGACCCTTTGCCCCATTGCAAAGCATTGAAGAGCGATATCGCGCGGTAAATAGCCGCGATATCGCGGGAATTACTGCGCGATAAATCGCTCAATGTGAACGGGGCCTTAATGTCACTTTAAGTATAAAAAAAAAAAAAGGTTTTGAAAAAATTAAAGCATTAAAAAAATAAAGAAACATAACAGGTCACAAATACATTTTTTTAAAAATAACCCAACATTTTTTAAAAGTCCCCGCCCCTCCACATACACGCGCAATCTTGCATCGGGTGCGCCTATGTGCAGAAACGATGATTCTGCCTATTGTGCCGCACATGTTACATATTACTGCAAACGTCGCAGTGAGCGCAACAATTTTAGGGCCATTAATTACTGATAACACTAAACTGATGACGGTCGCCTATTGCCAATTTTGGGTATTGTAGTTTTTCTAGGTTTTGCACATGCTCGCAATTTTAAGGCTTGACATGTTTGGTGTCTTTGTACCCGACGTGACCACGTCTTTTATATTTTACCGAAAAATTGGGTAATAATAAATGTTTTATAATTTAATATAGGGGAAACATTTTTTTTTATCTTTTAATTTTCTGTAATTTTTCCTTAATATAGTAAAAAAATAAAAACACCCAGTGGTGAATAAAAATACCACCAAAAGAAAGCTCCATGTGTCCCTAAAAAATGCATGATGGGCGCGGGGCTCAGTAACGCAATGGGCGTGGGGCTCAGTAACGCAATGGGTGTGGGGCTCAGTAACGCAGTGGGCGTGGGGCCCCTCATATAACTGTTGGCCTACCGCTCTGATGGCAGATGACACCTCAGTTTATCTCCTGTAAATCCCCCCCCCCTGTGTCCAGCAGGGGGTGGTGGAGCTCCCCCCATCAGCTTACCTTCTCCTGGACTCTTGTGTTCTGTGATCTTTCCAGGACAGTGTGTGTCCTGCACAGTCCCCCCATCTCCGTCTGAGGTCGGCTGGTGATGGGGGCGGGGCCGCTCTGTGCTCTCTGATTAATGTCAGGCGGTGACCCGGTGTTCTATTAGCTCTGCGACGGCCGAACACAATCAGGCTGAGCAGGACCCTGGGATTGCCCCTGTCTGCTTGCATCTTGTGTCTGGTTTTCAGCTGACTTGAAAACCGGGCACAA